TTTCTCACTTTCTATAGATCATTTTCGGATACAAGGAACCTTTCTTTCCCTGAGCTCTTAAGCCATTTGTTGGTTACATTAGGGATTCCCCACTTTATTGCAATCTTGGCCACTGAAATTTTATCTTATTACTTCATGTGGCAGCTTCCAGGCATTGAGGCTTTGTATCCTTGCCTGACTTTGATTAAAGGGAAAAGAATATAACTCGCGGTAGAAAGTGTGTTCATTTCAGACAGATATGCATGGCCATGTCCTTGCTACATTGTATCATATATATAGATATGTCCAAGCAGTCATAACTAGAAATTTTAATTCACTGCTAAGGAAAACATTGGAAATTTTCAGTTTCAAGTCTGTTTTTATTGAAATTTTTTTTTAAGTTTTTGACAAAACACATTTGAGAGAGCTAAGATCTGGGGAGTTTTCTTCTCATTTGACGCAGGGAGTCATTGTTTGACATTACCATAGAATAGAAGCTTACTACTATTTTGACTCTAGAATCTGGGTGGAATCAACTGGAGCAAGTCAACTCAACTCAGCTCAACTTTCCAAACTGTATTTTGAAAACATAGATGCTTCAATTTCTCCAAGATTTTTAACTGCGTATTAATGTTTTAGGATTATGTTTACAATGTTTTGATGCTGATTTATTTCTTGGCATTTTCAATTAGTTCTCTATTGTTATCTTATGTGGCTAAGTTGTTGGACAAAGAACTAAAGTACACAGTTATGGTAGTTATCACAAGAATGCAAACAATGCTTCCTTGGAGAAAATTTTGCATAAGGACCAGAATATCGTTAAGAAATTACTCCATTTTGGTGTTTAACCAGACCAAGCCCAGGGACTTCTTTATAGCATGAAAACTCTCCATAGTTGATACTGTATCTGTTTTTGTGTTTGTAGTGGCATGCAATGCTATTTCCTTCTTTATTTTCTTGTTCATGCCCAAATGGAAATGGGCTTTCTTTAACACAGCAAAATAAATTAGGTTAATAGGGAGATAACAGTATTGGGGTTTGTGGCCTTTAAAGGCTGTGAGCTTGTATATTTCATTTATAGAGTATTATACACTTCAGTGGGAGTGTGAGTGTAACTAACCAAGGGTTAAGTGGTCTATAGCCCTGGTCATGTTCAAAACTTTGACCCTTGAGCATGTAGCACTACCGAAAAGGGTTTACAGAGGTCATCTCTTGTTGAGATCAGAGAGATGCATGGGGTTAGGAGAGCTATGTGATATCCTATGTGCAGATGGATCCGTGAGAGCAAGGACTAAATCCTCAACAAACTTTTACACGACATGTACAAACCACAGTCGCACTACCGGGAAGCGAAAAGGGATGCGTGTGCATGTGCATAGAGAGAGTCCTCCTGCACTATAGTGATATGTGTTTGACTAGCTCTTAAGGGGGAGAACCGTAATCCACATTCTGTGACTGTGGTTCTATTGTTTTTTGGCTAGCTTTGACGAGCTAATCAGGAGCCATTGCATGAGACTATGGGTCATGGGTTTTGTTGGGTAGATTTTAGAAGACAATTGTGGATCACACTCACTGGGTCCGGTGGAGTGCACTTATAGTCACTTATTTTGACCTGGTGGAGTGCCCTTATAGTCACTTATTTTGACATGTTGCCACCAGTCCACTCTAGATATTTTATTTTTCAGTATTGAAAATATTTATGTGAATTTAGAAATTTTTTAGTATTTTTAGAATTTATTTTTGCTTTAAATTAGTTTAAAAAGGGTAATTCTAAAAATATAGAAACGTGTAGGGGCACATGTGGGGCCCTTGGATCCAGCCCCACACGTATGCCATGCCCCATGGGTGGCACACCCAGTCACATGCCATGAAACATCAACATTACCATTATCGACATGAGACATTCGGAGCAGAGTTAATGTCAGGTAGTTTGCTAAGATGGTTATAAGAAACTTGTTGTCCTTTTATGTTGACGGGTTTGTAGAAGCTCAAAATATAGTATGCATAATGTGGCCACATGCGACTTTCATACTTCGTCACTACATATTTTTCAAAGATTGTTCCCTGAAAACACTTTCACTTCCAGGCCGTTTATTCTCCAAAAAGTCCTCCTATATCAGTATCATAATTATCTCAAAGATAATCTAGTGGGTTACAATCAAACTGAATAAAGGACAAACACTAGCTAAAGCTTCCCTGTTATGATTGGTCATTTTGAATCAATCACACAGTGTTGGTTACAATCAAACTTTCTAGACTTTCAGAATGACTGGTCATTTTGAATCAATCACACGGAGTTGTAGAAACATAAGTACTCAGAATCTCAGCTAATGGCAATACATTCTCAACAGATTTTCATAATCAACATTTACATTAATAGATTTTAAATTAATGAATCAACCAATGTTGAATCACCGATAATAAATGGAGATTGAGAGATAGGTATTAATGCATTGTTAGGCCATGGCAACCAGGTAAAGCTTGTCCTTTATTACTATAGGGAAACACTAAAAGAAAAAATTGAAAGAAAGAAATCTTAAAGGGATAATCCTCACATAGCCATTAGATTATTCCCATACCTGTTAGATTCGTACTCAGGGATTATCCTCCTCAGGTAGCTCTTAGATTATTCCCATACCTGTTAGGCTGTTACTCTGAAAGGGCCTTTCTCTCACTTTATAGCTTTTACGGTTGGAAAACTGTTTCTAATGATCACATCATTCATTCCAATTTCCAAATGATGCCTCTTTTGATTCAAATATATTGAAATCATATTTTAGAAAACAGAATAATTGATTATCTATAACAATAAAAACAAATTCTCAAACCATTTAAGAGAAAAGGCACATTCATCCACACATGGAAGTTTGAACACAAGCACCATGGAGCATGACTTCCATTAGTGCAAAAATATAAAACATAACCATAAGTGACATTCCCCACAGAGAATTGGTGGCCCCTGGTTTTGATTTCCTTCATGTTTACAGCATTGTCCCTGGTTGATGCCACATGTGGAAAAGATGGCCAAATCCACTGAGCAACCTTATCAAATATGAAAGTGATCCATAAGGATGAAGCCAGAGTAAAATAAACTGCAAGGAAGATGAGGCCCTGCAGTTTCATTGCTGTTATTTGTGTTTTATAAATACATATGGATTGTTTTGTATCGCATTAATGTCCTCTTTGAGTCATGTTTTGCTGTTGGCATGGTCGCACTGAAATATCCATAATATATATGGGTGCCGGAAACTTGAGCTCTAAGGCCTTTCTAGATGGATCTTTTCTCTTCCATGGTTTTAGGCAAAGAATTTTTATTATGAGGAAATAAAATTTATATTATTTTTTATAAGAGTTTGCATATATTTGAATAAAAAGAGACGTCGTTTGGGATGAATAAGCTGTGATTGTTGGAAACAAGATTTCAAAAAATCCTAGGCGGCCCTAGGCAACCGGCCTGGCACCCAAAACCAAGGCGGGGGCCTAGAACCTGGGCACCCTGTAGTGAAAACTCTTCATATATATGCATATATGTGCTGTCTAAACACACATATATGTATATATTTGTGTTAAGTTTGCAATTTTTTGCATTTATATACATTGTAACTAGCTTTTTTTATACAAACATATTACATGCTAAGAATAAACATGTTTAAAACTTCAAATCATAGAAAATTTAGTGAAGAAACTTAAAAAGGTCCATAGTGTATTACTGTATTAGTTTCCAACTCTCCGTATTCCATAATTACATGGACTCCTGACCAATTGAAAACCTTATAAATTCCAATAACAAAAGATAAGCTTTTGGATGCTTCTTCAAACCTCAAATTTTTTTTTCGATTCACAGAAACAGGTATAATCAATTGATGTAGGGCTTATAGAAGTTTTTCCTTTTCTTTTTCTTTTTTTTTGTAATATTTGTGGGGTTTAATGGTTTAAACTACCACCCAATACTCTTTTAAACAAATTCGGTGGGGGGTCCAAATATGGCCCTAGGGGCTACTTAAAAAACGGAAGAGAGTCAAGGCCCTAGGCGACCACCCAAAACTGGGAGCTAGGCACCTGCCTAGGCCACCTGGGCAGGGCGTCGAGACCTAGGTGTGTGCCCTAGGGGCCTACGCAGGCACCAAGGCACTGGGTGCACTGTTTTTTTAAACACTCGTTGGAAATTGTTTCCTAACCATACATTTTTTTTTCTTTTAATTTGAGAATTGCTTCCTGACTGTGACATTGAGAGATGCTTGAAACTTTTAAGTGACCTTAATTATCACAAAGGTAAACGACTTTTGAGAGGAAAATCTTTGTGTGAAACTACTGGAATTTCCAGTGCAACATGCAAAAAAAGAATCCACTGGCAATGAGAGGAGAAGATTAACGCCTTAAGAGCATGCATGCTTGGATGTCCTTATCATTGTGACACATATTCAATTTAACCAGGTATCCATAGCCTAACCAGGCATATCTATTCATATTCAGATCCAACAACCAAATCATGTAGTTTCCCTAACAAAAAAAAAAAAGGAAACAACTTTTTACAGACATGCAGCCTCAAGTCTGTAGGAAAGTGTCTTAGAAGTTAACTAAAACACATAAAAAGCTCTAAGGAAAAAAACTACACACAAAAAAAAAGGAAAACCACATAATAGTTACAGAACTATAACTGATGCTTAATAGAATAAAATTGAAACAGCTCAAATTAAAGTGGAAGTATGTGCTTCTTTGACTTTGAATCTCATAATGACCCAGAATCCATCATCCCATACACATACAACAGTTCACAATGTAGCTTCTATGTTGGTTATTGAATTAAAAAAATGGAATCAAATAAATCAATATAACAAATGCTTCTTTCTTTTTTTTTGCTGATTGTATTATGGGCAATCACTAAAATGGGGATTTATAACTCATCAATTCAAGAGTTCGAATCTGTTAAATAAAGCAAAACATTACGCAATACAGAACAAAAGATGATGAATTTGTTTTTGAGAAGTAGCAGAACAAAAAGAATTGATTAATTAAATTACCCGGTGACCGATGAACTTCGCTCTCCGGAGGCACTCTCGATAAAGCTTTGGATCATCAAAATATTCGACTTTCAGACGATTAAATAAAGTAAAAATCCTATTAAATATTGGAGAAAAAATGAAAGAGGAGCGGGAAAGTGCTCACTCTGATGACATTGTTGGCGAGTTCGGGTGGTAACGCAGTCTGAAGGGAAGGCATCGATCTATCGACTTCTACCAAACAACGCTGATTCTCTCTCTCTCTCTCTCTCTCTAAGATACGACGCTGATACTTTCTCTCTCTTGTTTAGTCTAAACAGTAGTTATGTTTCAAAACATTTTTCGATCTACTTTTCTTGTTTGAAGGATCACTTTGCTTTGAGTGGTACGTAGAGATCACAATTTCTTATCTTATGAGTTACCCCTTCCCTTTAAGGGGAAAAGTTTACATAGATGGCGCGTGGGGCGCCGTCTCTCTCTTTCTTTATTTGATGGTGCGGTTTGTATAGAGCCGAGGCTCTAAACAATTAAATTAGATCTCACCTTCAAATAGTGTCGAAAAATATAGTTTCAATATCGAAAAATTTTATAATAACTTTAAATTATATTTTTATTTTTTGTTATAAAATTTAAAGCTTAAAAAATAGTGTAGATGGAGGGATCTATAAAAACTTGAAAATTTTAAAAATTGACGGTCGAAAAATGCATTACAAGATGCACTACTTTCAAATTTTGAAATCCATTTTTTGCTGATGTCCATGCATATTGATATTGAGATGATTAATTTGATGATATTTGGGGATCAAAACAACCTTTTTTCAGTGACAGTTTTGAGGTAGGTTCTAATTGGGTGGTTTAGAGCCTAGGTTCCATATAAATTTTCACTTGATCGTTTGACACATAATCGGTGATGTGTTCACATCAAATTAGTGTCATTTGTGATCCCTTGTGCGATTATGTGGTGCATCTTGACTATGACCCATCATGCACTGCTTTGCAAGTTCGTTTTGGTTCTAGAGGAGAGATAGTAACAATAAAAAATTTAGGAGATCGTACTTTATTTTTCTCTCTAAGTTCATTTTAAATTTTTCATCTATGGATTGCCAAAAGCCTATTGAATATCATGAGTATGCTTGTTTTCCATGGAGCCTTTACACCGATCGTAGGGCTTCTTGCATTAATTTTGTATTATTGAGGGAGACACTTCCCTGAGAATTCAAAGAGGTTATATGGGCTTTGTAAAGCTTGGATAAATTTGGAAATAGTATGTTGATTTTGTTGGTAAAAATTTTTGACGATAGTTAAAACATATCAGTATGATTTTGCTGTGATTTTGAGCGAGTCTTTGCACGTGCAGCATAGATATTCAGGAATTGCTTCCTGATCTGGCTGTATCCTGAGAGTGTTTTCACTAGTACCGTTGGCATCTTAGTTTCTAATTGTGTTGAGAGCATTAAACATTTTGAAGAAAGTGAGCTCCTCCCAAATTTCCAGATCCCGGATATCTTTTATCACTATGTTTAGCCTCCGAAACTTGTTTTAATTCTTACGGGAATTTAACTTTGTATTAGGAGAAGTTTTTTGTTGTCAGGTATAACCTTTGAAATATTATCTAATTTTCATGGTAATTCGATTGGTACTAAGAGTGCTTTGAATGTTTTTCTTTGGACGCTGACCCAGTATAATGGGAGGTGTTGCCTAATTTTCGGGACCTCTCTCTACTTCTACGAAACAATGTTGATTCTCCCTCTCTCTCTCTTTCTCTCTCTCTCTCAAAATAGAGATGTTGCGATTCTGACCCCAATTCTTTTAACCCTCCTGCTATGGCGATAGAAGTATTTTTTTTTCTCTTTTTTCACTATAAATTTACTGAAAAATCATATTATATGTTTTTGAAAATTTCAGGAGAAGTACTCTCTTATTTATAAATTTAAAACTAGTCATTTATCTTTATATTTTTGCACTTAGTTCTCACTTTTGAGAATGTATATTGTAATTTAATTTTGTTTTTTGTTCTATACTCATATTAGACTCAAATTTTGCAAAGTTGATGCTTCTCATCATCTCATATCTGTAAAAAAAAAAAAATATATATAAAATAATATTTTATAGAAATAAAATGACCAAGATTATCTTTACAATTTTGAAATTTATAAGAGTATTTTGTTTAAATTTAATCTAAATTAATTATATTTTATAATATTCTACAAAAGTGTTTACAGTGAGAAGTATAGACGCCCAAAACTCGAGCTTAATCAGATAGATTAGAAAAAACAACAAAATTAAAATGCAATATTCACTATAAAGAAGTTAGACTTAAGCGTGAGGTGTAAAGGGAAAGTATATGGTACCAATATTAAAAATAAGAAGGGATTTTTTTAAGTTTTTTATATTTTTAATATCCAAAAAATTCATATACTTCTTATCGTAATTTATGCTAGCATCCCTTATAATTATTGGTGTTTAAAATATCTCACATTTTATATATTACGCTCATGTGCCCTTTATGTATTTTCCCAAAATACCTGCAATTCAAAACTATTAATTTTGGACTGCTCATTAGGGCTAATAGTTTTTGGGAAAGGTTTCTATTTTTTTCCTGCAGCATAGAAGTTCTATCCTCCGCTTTATCCAACCGTCCATTCTGAATGGAGGGCTAAGATTGCCGCAATCACAATGTCACGTCTATACACCATTTTATTTTTATTTTTTTTTCTATAAATTATTTTGATAATAAATTTTAGACGTCTATTCTTCTATTAAACTCATACTAGCGAAAAATATAAAAAATATATTTTCAATAAAATAAAATGACCAAAATACCCTTGAAATTTTTAAGGGGCATTTTGGTCATTATATTTTTGTCGAAAAATTATTTCTAATATTTTTTATAGGTGCACCCCAACGAGAAGATAAAACTTACCAAATTTCATATTCATACAATTTGTATAAAAAAGCAAAAAATAAAATACTTTGAGACGTCGATCTAAGATCAAATGGGCCGTGGCTCTCTTGATCAAAATTGGACGGCTGGATGGTCGAGGAATGATAGAACTTTTATGTTGTAGAGGAAGCATAGAAAGCTTGCCCATAGTTTTTTACTGCTCTAATTCTTTACAGGAGCATTCTAAAACTAATAATTTCAAACTGCTTTGATTCCTTACATTGAGAAATTTAGAACTAGTAGTTTTGGATTGTTTTGAGTTTTACAATAAGCTGTATAGAACCAGTAGTTCCAAATTAGGCGTATTTTAAGAAAATTACAAACACACAAAATAAAAATACGATAGCAAACTAATCTATGGGGGATATTTGTTTTAATGATATTATGTAAATTTTTTTCCTTCTTCTTTTTTTATTTATTAACACTTAGTTCTAACCTTTTCTCTTTTTTTTTTATTTAAATATTAACCCCATTTTTCAATTTTCAAATAAATATATGCTTTTTTTTATTAAAAAATTACTTTAGATATAAAATGTCTGACCTAGTTCTTTTGCAACTGTGTTGGTTTAGGCACCTAATGAAAAATTTGTCTTTCACCAAAAGAAAAAAAGAACAAGTGATCGGGTTCAAATATTCAATGTCCAAACTGACCCAGCTATAAAATAATTGGTTTAGACATCTAACATCTTAATCATTCATTCACTCAAAAAAAGACCTTTGTTTGGACATTAAATGTCCGAATTAGAAATAGAAAAACAAAAAAACAAAATGAAGAAAAATGCAACACAACTGTTTAAAAAGTTTTCAAGTTTTTAAATGGGATTTTTTCCCCTTTAATTTTCCTTTTTTATCTTTTCCTCTTACCTAGAGTTTTTTAAAGAGAGAGAAGTATTTAGTAAGTTAAGGCCCACACCTCTTGGACCCTACCATTTGCACACCATCTAAATGTATTGCACAGTGCTAAGCATTCTCCCCATGTCTCGATGTTTGAGGCAAATTTGTACCGTTGAAATTAAGTGGATGATGCAAAAAGTGAGGCATGCACCATATATTGTACATCAAAACCAGCAAAAAAATTGGGTCCTTGGAAAAAACCTCTTATAAGGTATCGGGAATATAAGACATCCATGAGCGAGTATACTGCACACATATTCCTTCAAGCAAAAAAAGCAACTTAGGAAGATCTTTTATCTAAACTTTTGGGATCCACCTAAAAATCTTGAACTACTACTTCCATGAAATAATTTGGACTTTAAGTTCTTAAAGACCTAGATCTCATCATCTAAAATTGGACAGTCTCTATTTAATCTCATCTTTTCAAGCACATACAAAGTGCATTCGAAAATTTTGTTTTTATGAGGATGGTTACTAGGTTGAAGAGGTGAATATCCCTAAATTTGGGGTTTTAAAGTACTCATATATTGGGTTTTACCTGAGGTAAGTATCTTCACTTTGAAGGAAAGGCCTTGCCTTGTATCTTTACTGTGATCTTTACTCTAAAAGAAAGGCCCAGCCTCTTATGCACATGAAGTCCTTCCTCTCTCTATAGATGAAGCCACCTTTCTCATATGGTGACTTAAATAGGACATACGAATTTTGATATTTCTTCTTATATATATATATATATATAGAAAGTTAGGAATCTATATCAAATAGGGAACTTCCCATAAAAGTTATATTTATTTCAAAACCAAATGATATATCATAAGAGTCTTAATCTTTTTGGATTTCTATTTCGTTTAGAAAACTATCAATATCAATCCCAATCCCACATAATATGAGATTTCGTTATGTGGGTGATTTTGAATAATCACTGTATCCAACAATTTCACAGGTCAATAATCTAATTTACCACGATCATCAATTTGAGAAAAAAAAAAACCTTAAAAATGGAAAATAAAAATTGAACCCGAGGTAGGTAGTTTTGAACTTTTCTTAGACTGTTCACTTAGTTTTTAAAAAATCATGAGATCTTTATTATTTTTTGAACTACAAATGAATGGATTGAATACATAAACGGGTTTGCAGTGATGTAGGATGGTTCTCACATCTTGAATCTATGGAAAAACCTGGCAGACTTATAGGTCCGTAGATGCATAATGAGGTATTATTTTTTTTAATACATCATACTTATGATTTTATATTGTAACTTTGAATGCCCCTACATCCACTTGAATTTTTAGAGGAGCAATGGACCATTTGCCTATGTTTGTCATAGTTTATTCTTAAAAGTTTTATTTTTATTTTTAGAACATGAGATATTGTGTGTCCTTTCTTTTCTCCTTTCAAATACCTTGTTTTTCTTTCCGGTTTTTCTAGTGCTCCCCCTCCTCAGCATTTAAAATATAGGGAT